AAAAAAAAAAAAAAAAGAGAGTCTGCTTGGCTTAGTAAGACTCTAGCTGAAAAACTCGGGTCGAGTCTCCAAAAAAAGCTCACACCATTTTGCTTGAGTTTCGACTCGCGAGATGGTTTGATTCGATTCGTTGACATTCCTACTAAAAATTGCTCAACTCAGCTACTGTCATATATGAAGAAACATGACAAAATATATGAACTTGTAATTCAATAGGTTAAGAGTTAACAAATTACTTTTGCTTTTCTCATTTTTGCCTATTTATTGAAAAATATCTGATTTATAAATAGTCTCATATTTACTTTTAAGACTAACCCCTTATTTGATGGGGATTAAAATCAAATTTTTAGTTAATTTTGATAAAAATTTATAAAATGTGTGATTGAAAAGTTATTGATCTCATAAAATTATTGTTAAAATTAATTGTTAACTTAGATTTTAATCACTACCAAACAGTGGCTAAATGTGACGGAACCATAAATTCCTTTATACTTGATTCTAATAAAGCAACTATAAATTATAACAAATTTAAGTAATTCAATTATTAATACATTTTTGAATAAAATTGTTATCTCATAATACTATAAGTTGAATAATTAAGTTGTAATATGCTCAAAAGTTACACAAAAAGATAACCATTAATAAATCCTAACATGACAAAGCTACTCATATTTCGATAATTGGTAAAATCATTTTGTCTGGTCATACATTGTGTAAACATATTAACACCAGCATGATAAAATCACTTAGGTGCTTTCTGATTGTTTTAGAATTAACTTTACATATACTGAAGCATTTAAAAATGATGTAATGTGCAAATAAAATAATTTAATTGAACTATCTAAATTGAAAAAGAATTGCTTATTTATAGAAATCTATTTTATTCGACAAACCATGCATATCTAACTCAACTATATGAAAACCGTTAACTTTTACAACTTTTATAATTTACCATAAGCACTAGATAGATAAAAAGTTATGCATATAAATCATATTAATAATGCCCTCTTAACCAGTTTTTCCATTGATTCATTCACAACTCGAAAGTCTGTTATCCTTTAATTTAGAATAAACTATTCCTTGTGTTTCAAAAGAATCATTTATTTCAGGCTTAAGGAAAAAAAAAAAGAAAAAAAAAAGGGATTCCTTGATATTGAAGAAATGATTTTAATTTATACAAATTAATAAATTGGGTTTGTGATGTTCAAGTTAACAACTAACCAAGTTGTCATAATAATTGAGCAGGCGATACTAAACCTTAAACTTTTCATACTTAAGCAAATCTTCAAATTTGTTTAGTCAATTTGAGCCAACCATACTTTCTGATCTATTCATTAATTTTTAAATTATCGCAGTTACCTTCATTTTGAACTCTCTACCTTGGGGAAAAAAACATGAGGCTTAATAAGCTTTAATCATCTTTAATTTCGAATTTATAAACTGGTTCAAGAACCCTAAAAATTCGATCTATATTTCTTTTAACTTAACTTGAATAAATAGCACTTACAATTAAATTAATCATTCTCCTTTAATATAATTTGAATTTAAGCTAACAGTTCAAAAACCTTAAATTTATCACAATTCTTCAATACTAAGGTGTGTTTGGTTTGCTGTTTTCAATTTTGCAAAATATTTAAAACTTGTTTGATTTGATTTTTTTTTAAAATACGTTTTGAAAAATAAAGTTAAATTTATAACAAACTCAAAATAGTTTTTAGTAAATGCTATGAAAACACTCAAACAATGGAAAATAAGTGTTTAAATAAATTTCTACTTAGATAAAATTCTAAAAGAATAAAATATAAAATTATGAAAAAAAAAAAAAAATAAGAAGCTCAAGCTCTTAACGATTACTTACATAAAAGTCCTAAAAAATATGTTTAAATAAAATTAGAAAAAAAGTCTCATTCCACAATCAACTCAATTTTATTTTATTTTTTGTTTTACTTTTGTAGCAAAAAAATATTTTAAGATTATCA